CATGAGCTAACAATGAACAACTGTATTTTCATTAACTAACGTTAACTAACAAGAACAAATACAGTAGTAAATGTTTTGTTCATTGTTTGTTCATGTTAGTAAATGCATTAATTAACATTAACTAATAAACCTTATTGTAAAGTGTGACCAATAAACCTAGTTAAGTCTTTAAATGTCACTTTAAGCTGTATAGAAGTGTCTTGAAAAACATCTAGTAAAATATTGTTTACTGTCATCATGACAAAGATAAAATAAATTAGTTATTAGAAATTATTTATTAAAACTATTATGTTTGAAAATGTGTTGAAAAAAAATCTGCTCTTCGTTGAACAGAAATTGGGGGAAAAAATAAACAGGGGGGCTAATAATTCTGACTTCAACTGTATATGGCCATACTGATGACTAAATCTTTTTGGTTTGAATTTATTTTAAAAAATTATTTTGTATATTTTATTTTAATCGTATATAATATTATTAGGTTATCACATTCTATTTTATTAAAAATATATTATATATTATAAAAATTATTATATATATAAAATATATTATATAAATATATTATTAATTTTAATAAAAAAAAGCTGTTTCAAACGCCACGTTAAGAATAACAAAACTATAATCGACAGAATAAAAAGTGTAATATTAACACTGCCACTAAATCAATGATACTTTTTAAAGCCTTTTATTAGGTTAGACTTAACAATTAGCACACATGACTAAATATCAACTTTATATAATTGTAAAAGAATATCTAGCACTGTCAGATAAACTGATGTGATATCAATAAATCTCCCTAATCACTAAGTAATGATCAGTTTGTAGATTTAAATACTGACAGACCACTGTACTTGTAGCATTGTGGCAATTGAAAAAATAAAAGTACAAAAATAGTATCTGCAGAATCACAACACAATAAAAAAATACAGTTAAAAATCAACTAACTTACTGTAACAGGGTAAAACATGCATCTAAAATACAGATTCTATTCGACACCCCCAACAAACACAAGTGCGGTCTTACACTGCTAATACACCCATTATCAGACAAAGTGTGTTTTGGCTGCAAAAGAGACAGAGGGGGAGAGACTTGAGTCCTATCTTGCTCTTAATAGCTCATTAGTAGGGCTAAGCAGGCTCTCTTCTGTATCGCTAGCACCTTTATTCTCCTAATGTTCCCCGTACCTCTTTCTGCCCTCTAAATGTGTCAAATGTGCACAGAGAGACCAAGAACAGCCAAAACCTGGGAACGGTTTCAAAACATACTATGTTGCTTCCACAGAGGGATTGCTTTGAAATATCCTGAAAGGGTCATCCTTTTTTGTGTTGTGGGCTTGAAACAGGCAGCTGCTTCCGTCTAGTTAAAGTATGAAAGTTCAGGTGTTTGAATCCTTACATGACACGTGAAAGCAAACAATGCCTGCGCTTAAACTCAGCACCAAAAGGCATAATATAATACCTTGAGCCCCATAAATGCACACCATATTCAAATACAGCAATACTACATCGTTTATGCAACAAAGATTTTTTATTTTTTTTTTGCAAATTTAAAGCATGAAAGAGAATTAAATAAACAAATATCCATTATATTATTCATATTACACCGCATATAATATTTGGCTCACTTCAACTGAATATATGCTGCAAAAATAACATTTCATCAGAAAGGCTATAGGGGTTGATTTTCGTATATGCATTAGATATTTTAGACCCTATGCATTTATAGACACTCAATTATTTGACGTCTGGCACATTCAGGTCACAGATTCATTGTTTTACATGTAGCGGCTCAGAGTTTGGTATATTCACAAGGATTAGACAAAAGACCTGGCTTTTTTAAACGGAAGTGATTTTCACATAATTACTCTGAAGGGCATATGGTCAATGTTTCCTCTTTTCTCTTCCATGCTGTGACCAAAAGCCTCTCATTCAGATATATGAATCAATATCTCAGTCTCTTCTCTCCTGTTCTAGCAGTGTTAGGACCACCTTCAAATCATAATAGATCCTATAATACCAGCATAAAAATAAAACACAGCTTTGTGTAAGTGTGTCACCCTGACCTGGAGTCTGTGTCTCTCAGGCTGAGCTTTCTCATCATGTATAGAACATTTTGTGAGGGTCTAATATGGAGTTTCAGAGCCATAATAGGTGGAGCAGGAGGGGTGTTTGTAGCCACGGCTCTCATCTTTGAGACGAAATCGCTGACAATCACTCCAATTTCAATTAAATGAGTCAGGCTGCAGAGAGATGAGGAATTTGTGCATGTTTCAGTTTTCTTTTATGCTCAATAAAAGCTTGAACAAAAGCAAACGTGGTCTTGTAAAATTAAAAAAGTGCAGTCATTACGTTTTTAAAGCATTCAAAAGGCACACTAAAGCTTTGATGTTTACAGGGGAAAAATGATTCAAATTCAATAATCTAAACAAAGAACCTGTAAATATTTGTGAACATTTAATGATTTTCTGTTCTCTTATTTTCTTTTCACTTCACACAAAGAAAACCAACTAATATGCTTGCACTGTTAAATGCATGCTCTTTTAACCAACTACTTCTTTAAAGGAAAAATGTATGAATAAGTTCCCAGTAGGACAATCTGCAGTTATAAAACATGCAGCGTTTAGGCTTTTTAGGATAAAGATCTCCCTCCCCCTTCTGGTGTCCCACTTTAGCTTGGTTTCAGGATTTCATCTGTAAAGCTCTTCTTATAGGAGCATCCTCCTAAAAACCTCAATCTGTTTCCGTACACGAGTTTGAGAGTAACGTAAATTAATGCGACGCACTGGCTGAATATAATAACTTACACTGAAGATTTGCAGGTGCAGGTAACGTTATGGTCATCGGTAGACATATGCGAGGCTCTGCAAGACTGATTCAAACAGTTGCAGCCAAATACAAAGTCTAATTTGTACATTGCTACTACCTCAGTGTTTTCTTTTTTGAAAGTAACTTAACTTCCGTGAAGCTGGGAACACATACTAGCGTTGAGATTTCAATTAATAGCCAAGCCACCTTCGAAATAGGTCTGAAGGTGCCTGTAATACAAATTAGAATGAGCGAGGATAAATTGTTTATGTTTTATACAATTCTGGAGAGCAAACCGACCTTAATCTCGTTATCCACAGTTTCCAAAGTGCTTGCCTTTGGCGCTTCTTCAGCCTCCTACAGTTTAGCGACTGACGCCATCTTCTGGTGATGTGACGACATCACTTGCTAGTTACTAGAGGATAACTTTTGACCTCCGATAAATTTTACTTTATGTTTTTGAAAATTAAGTAAGCTATTTTAAAGGGCATTGTTTGTAAAAATATTAACATGTTAAAAAATATTGTGATGTTCACAAATCACACTGATATCCAAAAAATATTGCTTTTGACAATATGAGGCAAAATATTTCCATGTTTGACATTTTAGCTGTTTAAATGGTTAGAAAACATAAAAAAATAGTAAGTTAATGTTATAGAATGTTATCAATCTATTTAACGGGCCGTTATCAATGGCTCTGATAGATATGGGCCAGTAGGGGCCCTTTTGCACTGGTAGGCTCAGAAGGCTGTTAACATCCATCCACATGCACTGTAAAAAATGCAGGGATCCACACAATTCATTTATGTTGTCCCAACACAAATTGATTAAGTTAACGTAACAATTTTAACAAATTTAGCCTATATACAAAAAATAATAATAAATTAAAAAAACATGGTCCCAATGAAATGTCAAGAATTGTGTTGTTTCAGCTAATTTTAGTTTAAACAAGTAAAAAATGTTTTTTGAGTGTGGTTAGTCAGCTATACTAATAGAGAAGACTCCAGATCCAGATCTGTTTTGCATTACTGTGACGGTTGGGTTTAGGGTTGGGGAAGGGGTAGATGTTAATACACATTACAATTAATGCGAAAATTAATAAATAATAAAAATAACTTTCTTTAAGTTCTGGACGCAGTCACATGTGATCTATAGGTGATTAGCCATGTGGATGCATGATTACAGTCTTCTGAGCCTACCAGTAGGCTCAGAAGGCCTCTACAGGCTCATATCGATCAGCTGATAAACACTGATAACGCCCATTCAATGGAGCGGTGACATTTTTATCAGTCCTCAGATAGTTAAATCCTGGTAAAAAAAAAAAAAAAAAAACAATAATCAAAAAATTGTTGAGAATTAGAAAATATCATTGACCTCTTTATAAAAACAATGTAAGTCTGTGAGCCTGAGGTATCCACACTGTTTTACCACAACAAAAATTAATATAAGTTTTTGACGCTGAAAAAATATTCATAGGATTAAAACATTTCTTTAAGATAACTAGTTGCAAAAAAAAACTAATTAAATGTAGTAATTTTTTATGAACTTAATTTTTTTTTGATGAAATGTATTTGTTTAAATTCAGCCCATTTCAATTGTTTGCTGCCAGTTAGTAAATCCAAAGAATAATTTTAGTAAGTGTATACCATAGCAGCCAAACTGTTTTTACTACATTAACCATAGGGTAACCATGTAATTTGTAGTAAAACTGAATGGAGCCAATAAACCATGTTACTATATGCTTACTATAGGGGGGACAAAATCTTGTTTATTTTTCGTAACAGCAAAATAGTCAGATCTTACAAGTTACCTGACATTCTAGAAGAAACAACAATAGTTAATGCGGAGGAATAAATGCAGCATTTATAATAATTATAAAACAATTAAAAGTTCAACACTTGACAATTAATGTTAATTATTTAAAGACATTCCAAGAGGATACTTAGTTATTTGAGTGTCTAATTTGACTGTATGCTTACTGTTGTCTTTGTACACAAGCTATCTTACAGGTGATATTTGTGAGAGGAGCAAGTAAGGTGAGTTTTTTTGTAAATGTTCAGAATTGAGGTGGAGTAGACATGCTGTAGCAAAGCAGAACTCTTGTACTGACACATGACATGAACAATCAACAATGACAATACTGGCAACATTAACACATGTCACAAATATGCCTTCAAGAAAATAGGGTGATTTTAATGAGTCAGATGAATGAGTCGCTAGCCATAATCTCTTATCTTGTGATAAAGGTTTGAAAGAGGAACAGTGGTGAAGCTACTTATTCTCAGCCAGACAGAAGTAATCTTTCTAAAGCAACTTTGCGTTCGTTGACTTGGGTGAGTATCCATTTGAATTTCATTCTTCTGGAGAAAGCCTTATTTGTTTTACTTTGGATAGAATAAAAGCAGTTATTATTTTTTTTAATTGGGGAAAAAAAATAAACAGGGGTTCTAATATTTCAGGGGGGCTAATAATTCTGACTTCAACTGTATGTATATATACACACACACACACACACACACACACACACACACACACACACACACATATTACTGGATCTGGGTGAATCATTGTGAAGAAATGACAGCATAGTTCACCCAAAATACAACATCTGTCATCATTTATTTAGCCTCTACTTGTTCTAAACTAGTTTTTCTTTTTCTGTTGAACACAAAGATATACTGAGGAATGTCAGAAAGCAACAGCCAATGCCTTCCATAGAATTTATTTATTTTTGTTCTTACTATGGATGTTAAACCTAATGACTGCAGGTTTACCACAGTCTTCTGATACCTTGTGTTGCGCTTAAAAGCAGAAAGGTATACATAAAATGTTACAAGCTCTTTAATATTTCCATAGGAAATATTCATTTTTACAGTATTACACTTTATCAATGTTTTTGTATAAATAAAATACTGGGTCATTAAAGAGGAATTTTGTTTTGAATTCCCAGTCAAGGTGAAAATGTGACTTCCTGTTTGATTACTTCATATAGATTTATATGCATTTGCTTTTTCTTGTAGTCTAGTTATGACTTGTTCGAATATGTCAAATGATATTTGCATTGTTATGAAAGCTTGGCATTAGTATGTGAATGAAAAGGTTAACTTCATGTAGGTGACTTTTTAAGAAAACTAGCTTTTCAAGCTATGCATGTACCGCCTTTTCCATACTCAGGCACTCTCACTTGCGTTTCAAGGACAGCTGTATCCAGATCTCCACACAAAGCTCCAACAATGCTTAAGGTTAGATTGTCTTTCCCTTTTGGATTTATTTTAAGCACCTGCAGTTGACATGCTTGTAATGTAACATTTTGTGAGACATAAAATAGTTCCCTTTTTTCCTCTAGCTGTAATGATTGCTTACATCAGTTGAGAGTGCAAATCTTGTGATCATATAGATCATGTGTTATTTGGGAATTTTTGTAAATCAGATGGTGATATTTCTCAACCGCCTCAGTTTCTGTTTCTGTTTGTTTTTCTTTTAATAGAAAGAAGCCAAGCCATACTGGAATCTGTCTGTCAAAGTTTTGCGCGCAAAGATCCATCAGTCCTACGACTACTGTGAGACAATTCACATTCTTAACAGCAACCAAATATAATCTTACAGATTACAGACCGTACTTTTTAGCAAAAGTCCCAAGCTCACTGCAAGCACGTCCAAACCTGTTTGCAGATTTGATGTAAAATGTGTGCTGTTGTTTGAACTTGCTCTGCTGATTATGTTTGACGCTTTTATAGAATATGTAATAATACACAATAAAAGTTCTAATCCAAAGTGTCAGAATGAATATCAGTATGATCCTTTCCAGACTGAAAGGCATTTTTAAGCATTTACAATTCGACTGTCCATCATAAATATCTCTTTGTAAGTGTACATTATGACTCACTAACATTTTCAATTTATTTTTCTTTAGTGAATGAATCAGACTGCTATGTCATCCTGAACTTACCCACGGCATCAGCCCGCACAAAACGCACCAAGACTATCCCAAGTAATAACAACCCCGAATGGAATGAAACTTTCACTTTCCGGGTGTTCAGCAACATTAAGGTAAACCATTGAAATTGATAAGATTTTTTTAACCTCCACTATTCAGTCATCTTTTTAGTAGGATGTGTCATATGAACTAAAATGTAGGCATATCATTTTTACTTTACGTTTTACGTTTCATCATATTTACGTTATGAGATCAGTTATTATTAATTACAGTTACTCTTGCAATTCTTTATTCATGTCCTCCTGCACAGAACGTTCTGGAGATCATGGTCTATGATGAGGATCCATTCATGAGAGATGACCAATGCGGCACAATCCTATTTGATGTCAATAACCTCACTCCTGGGAAAAAGGAGACCAAATGCTTCATAATAAATGAAAAGGTCAGTGCTATATATGAGCTATATATGAGAATCTAAAAAGACAGTGCAACATAAAACGCATTCTTGACAGAGCACCTAATATTTGGTTTGTGATTATTAACATTTCTTTCTCAGACCAAGAATGAACTGTGGGTAGAGTTTGAGATGACTAAAAGGTGAATGAGCTTCTGGTAATTTTTTTTTTATATTTACTTTTATGTACAATTATAAACTTGTAAAAACTTATGATAAAGGTTTTTTGCTTGTGCATGTATTCCAGCTCTGTGACACCAAGACCATGTACATCTAATGGAGTGTTGGTGGTATGAATCTTTACTTTGACAGCTTTCTTACGTGTATCATGAGTTACAGTAGAATATATTGTATTCAGATTATTCTGAATGATAAAATTCTGAACTATAGATTTTCTCAAAAGGTTTCAGGTTCACTCTTGGCACAAAAAAAAAAGATTCCTACATCAGATTAACTTTTGGTTTCTCATGAAAACAGGCAGGACCTTTTTGTGAGCTGAATGTGGAGATAGACAAGCTTCTTAAGAACTCTGAAGGTAAATATGTTTTCATTACAAAACATTTTCATCCTAATTTTTCAAGTAAAAGCTTCGATAATAATACTATTCACAAATAGATGCAGTAGAAAATAAAACGTGACCCTGGACCACGAAACCAATTATTTGTAACAGTTTTATATATAAATAGATTTGTCCATCACATGAAAGCTAAATAAATACACTTTCCATTTATGTATACGTTAGGATAGAACTATAATTGGCCAATATACAGTACAATGTAAGTAAAATGTTTATCTAAAAACAAGAAAATCACCTTTAAAATTGTCTTCACCCGCTTCGAATGATATCACTCGATTGAATGAGCATTATCAGTGGTTATCAGCTGATAGATATGGGCCAGTAGGGGCCTTCTGCACCTACTGGTAGATTTAGAAGGCTGTTAACATCCATCCACATGGTTAATCAGCTATAGTAATAATGAAGACTCCAGATCCAGATCTGTTTTTACATTACTGTGATGGTTAAGTTTAGGGTTGGGGTAGAGTAGACGAGGTGTTAATAAAATATAATGGGAAATTTAATAAATAATATTAATAATTCTCATTTACTTCAGGCCACAGCCATATGTAATCTATAGCAGATTAACCATGTGGATGGATGATAACAGCCTTCCGAGCCTACCAGTAGGCACAGAAGGCCCCTATTGGCCCATATCTATCAGCTGATAACCACTGAAAACGCCCATTTAATCGAGTGATAACATTTGAATCGGCTGTAGTCTTAATGAAGCAAACGCACAACATCCAAAAAGGGAGTTTTGATACAAGAGGAAATTTACAAAAGATCTTCAAGGAACATGAAAGCACGAATGCTTTCTATTTAAATGATTAATGGCATTAAAGAAAAATGTCATCATTTTGACCTATAAGATGCATATTTGGCTATTCTTACAAATATATGTATGTAACTTAATACTGGTTTGTTGGTCACAAATGGTTAACTGCTTTATAATTATTGTTGACAACACAAGCACTGTATAAAGCACTAGACAGAGTGAAATAATCCCATATTTAGGTGTGCTCCTTTTTGTGTTCCAGCAATGCAGAACATGGTGTTAAAACTGAAAGGGGCATATAAAGAGGATATTGTGATCTCAAATTTGGATGAAAGCTCCAGCATCATGACAACATTACGTTACTTCATTAACCGAGATCTGGAAACTGAACTCAATCTAACCTCCGAGGCAGCTGTCAGGCCAGAAAATGTAAATCTGTAATGCCAACATGCATTTCATACACACAAATATCATGTTTATTGATAATGGATTTATCTAAAAAAATCAAAGCAATTATATTGGTATTTGGTGTAATTGGAAACGACACGCCTCACATGTTGGGTTATTTTTAAAGCATCTAAAACAGAAATTGTGGATTAAAAAAGCTTTTAAATATTATATATTAAACATCCTTTTCTCCAGACTGTCGTAGTGGATGGTACAGTTCCAGCTCTTGTAGATGCTGAACTGACTTCTGTTCCTTTAAAACCACTTCCAGCCAAACAGAAGCTTACTGTCTCTTTGCCTCTGGGAGAGGTAAGCACTATTAATGTCTTTTTATGTTTACAGTTTATTGATTATATATTAAAACTATTATGTGTTTATATTCTTACTAAGTGCATTTTATCTAAAGAGACATCTTTTTTTTCTGTCTTTTTTCATAGAATAAAGTGGATCTGCAACTGAAAACAGATGATCGGTAACAAACAAACCTATTTTCAATAACAGTTTAATAACAATTTGTTATAATTCGGATGTGTAAACAAATCATTGTAAGCTAGAACACTATTATTCATCTACTTTCATATCAAATCCACGCTGATATCAGACTGAAAATGTGTTTGTGTCTGTTCTGAAGCTCTGATGAAGAGATGGATGTGCGTCTGGATTTTGACATTCCAGAGAAGGAAAAAAGATTTCTGGCAAAGAGAAGAAAAGTTGTTTCACAAGCACTTCAGAAAGCTCTGAATCTCAGCTCTGCACCAGATCCAAGCAAGGTACTGCATTGCGTACACACAGACACAGACACATTGTGGCTTATGTGGATATTGGTTAAAGTATGATTTTTAAGTGTTTTTAATTATGAGGACACAAGACATGTCCTTGTAAACCACCTTCATGAAACACAAACACATTGTATATGTGGTTTATGAGGACTGGCATTAGCTATGATTTTTAAGGGCTCTATTTTGACGATCCATGCACAAAGTGCAAAGCGCAGGGCGTAAACGCATTCAGGGCATGTCAGAATCCACTTTTGTTAATATAAGGGCAGAAAAATCTGCTTTGCGCTGTGGCGCATGGTCTTAAAGGGTTGAGCTTATTTTCTTTATGAGTTATAGATGTGTTTTGAGAATTAACCAATCAGAGTCTCATCTCCCATTTCCTTTAAGAGCCAGTTGTGTCGCGCCATTGCTTATTTGCTTTTTACATGACGACTTTGTAAGTGGAAAAACTGAGCCTTTCACTAGCAAGAAAACAGCTAAACAGAGCATCTGCAGCATGAGAATGAGAGATAAGGCCTCTCATTATCTACTTTCCCTTTCGTTCTAGTGGATAGGGAAACCTTGTATGCACAGACATCAATTAGCCTATAAATAATTAATTTCGTTTGGTAAGCGCAAAGATTTGTTTCAAAACTATTTCTAAATTCAGTTCTAATTTCCAGCAAACGAATAAATGAACAATAATAACTAAGCGTGGTCAAAATACTGAGTTATATCCAAATACACATGCTGTGCCCCATATGGTGTGAAACATGAGAGGTGGGCAAATCTAAGCTTGTTTTTAATAAAACAAATATAAATATGGATATAATAAATAATACGGCTAATAATAATAATAACATTATACAAAAGCAAATTGTCACGGAAAAACTGAAAAAGTCCCCGAGATGAGAAAAGCATGAAAGTTTGGTTTTTATATTTATGTAGGCTAGAAAATAATATGTTTTGTAATATTTTAATCCTTTATATTTATATCCTATATATATATATCCTTATTTTATACTTTATATATCCTTAATATTTTAATTATTTTTCATATGTAAAGATATTTGTGTATTGCTCTACATCTTGTATGTATTCAGCAGTGTGTAAGCGAGGCGCACATAACGCGCTCTGCGCTGGACAATAGACCAGCTTTGTTCTGGTCTATTGAAAAATCTATTATAGTTTCTCAAAATAGCAACGCGCCAGCAATCCGCCTCAACACGCCTTCCTTTTTAGACCAGAACGCCTATGGGTGCACATTTGAGTGCAAATGCATTTGCTATTTAAACAGCTTGGTTAAACGTCAAAATGACTCTTACACCAAGCTGAAACTAGCAAACAACAATTGCGTCGCGCCTTGTGCCACATTGCGCCGGGTGTATGATAGGGCCCTAAGTGTTTTGAATTAAGAGGACACAAAGCATATCCTAGTAAACCACCTTAATGGCGCACACACATTGTATTCTGTATGTGGTTTATGAGGATATGCTTAACATATTTTATTATTAAAAAAAAAACTCTCATTTTATGGCCTTACCCTACCCCTACCCCTAAACCCAACCATCTCAGGAAATCTGTGGCAAATTTTGAAGGTCCAACCCCTATCATTTTAAAGGGTTTTGAGTTATGAGGACACAAGGCATGTCCTAGTAAACCACCTCAACAAACGAACATCTAGGTCATAGCCATGTAATTATAAAATTTTGTGTCCCCGTACACCACATAAACAAGTACAAGCACACATACACCCAAAACCCAGAAACTTCAACTACAAAATTGAGCAAAAAGAATCAGTTGAAGTTCAGCATTTATAACCAAACAAACCAAAATGTGATAAGTTCGGTGTTTGATGTGACTCTGCAGGTACCGCTGGTGGCTGTGGTGTGTTCGGGAGGAGGGAGCAGAGCTTTAACAAGCACATACGGAAGCCTTAAGGGTCTGCAAAATATCCAGATTCTTGATACAGTCAGCTACATCACAGGGGTTTCAGGTGCCACTTGGTAAGAACGAGGAGCATACGTGTAGTTTTAATCTCTTGTTTCAGGACTGATAAAAAGCCTTTGTGCCTTTCTCTTGAAAGAAAAAGTGCCAGAACGTGTTTTGTGTAACGTTTGCCTCAGGCAGACTGCAACTTAAGGGGTAGTTCATTAACAAAAACCTAATGTTACTCACCCTTTGATTCTCTTTTTTTCTGTTAAACACAAAATAAGATATTTTAAAGAATGTTGTTAACCAAGAGAAGAAAACACCAAAGAATTCAGTGGCTATTAGTTTCAGTGTTCATATTTGCTGCTTTCTTGTTATACTGAAGAAACATGTTTTGGAAATGGAGGGAGAGCAAGTTTTGGGGGGAACTATCCCTTTAATACAAAATTAATTGAAGATGAATAAGTACACTGTATAACACTGCTACATTGTTGTATGGCTAAGGAATTTATGTTTTTTTTTTCTTTTATCTCTGTAATTCAGGGCTTTAGCCTCTATTTATGAAGAACCGAACTGGTCAAAGGGTGACATTGATAAAACGATGGAGTCTGTAAAGAAGGAGCTCTCTAAAACCATATTCAGTTTGTTTTCTTCGGAGCAGCTACAGCGATACAAAGAGAAGATAGATGAGCGAGAGAAGCAAGGACACATTGTATCTCTCATAGACATGTGGGGTCTGGCTTTGGAGTATCTTTTCCGGGGGAAGGTAAAAGCAGCACCAAATGTTTGCTGGCACTTTTAGGCTTAAAACTTGAAACATATAACATATTTTTTTTATTTAGCAGTTTGTGGATGTAAAAAGACATAATAACTAAGGGATAAAAACTGACATTATTACATGACTCTTTATTACATGCTAATTACATGGTTACTTAAAACTGAACAGTTTTACAAAAAGCATTTATTTGAGCTGTAGTAACTCTGCAATTAAGCATAAAGCTGACAGGAACACAGATGTCTGAATTAAATCTATTACTTATGTCTATTTAAATTCAAAACCCTACACTACACATGCACTGTGCATGCTGAGAGTCCTGGATGAGTTTTGAATGTTTTTCCCTATATGCATGAAGCATGTCACCATCATGAGATACATATGCTGATTCTTGATGTCTCTGTGTTATTAAGTTTCTCAAATGTGCAAAACATTCAGGCTGCAATGTGTTTTTGTAAAATCAAAGTGAAACTATATTCAAATACAATTTAAAATCAAATCAGTCTATTAAACATTGATTTAATCCGATTATTTCTCTTGTTATAACTCAAAATGACAGCAGCCAAAGAAAATTATGAGCCAGAGAGCACAAGTAAAGCAGCCACTGTTCTTCAGAATGGTGATCTTTAACAAACCCAGTGTTTTTAGTAGATGTTACTAACATAATACAACAATTTTGATTCATTTAGTTTTAAACAAGTAAGACAAACATGTTAAAATCATATTTGAGCTACAAGTGTATATTCAAAGCAAGTTTTCTTTGAGTAGATGCAAAATATGTGCCCTGATTAAATCATGTTCATTCAACAAATAAGTGTACATAATGCACTACAAAGTATATACACTTATGTTCATGTTACACTTGCAACAGAGGTTTGAGTTGATCAACTTGTTCGTCCAGTGTTTAATGATTGATTGTGGGCTTGTATTGATATAATATTCCTACAGTGTTTCCATTCGCTGAGACAAGGAAGTTCAAATGCACTATATCAAGAAAGGGCAAATCTTTAAATTAAATTATTGTAACAATTAAAGTATTTTGATCTTGTATGTATACAAAGCATAATAAGGAATCTTCCAAATGGTATAATAGAGACACATCACACACTTTCTTTTTATAGAAACACATGGGAACACTCTCTGAACTGCAGAGGACTGTGTCTGAAGGCCAGAATCCTCTGCCTATCTTCACATCTGTCAACATAAAGAATGGCAGGGCAGAGTGTATAGAAGATGCAGGTATGTACTAAAAAAATATAATGTCTATTTGTTCTAAGACTAAAGTGTATAAGATTATGTGCAGTAATCATGTTGAACACATAGTGTTGACTTAAGGTGCTTTCTTTAATGATCATAGTTGCGTTTAAACTCAGATGTGTCCTGCTGTACTGGTCGTACAAGTTTCTTGCTGACATAATTACTGGGTGTGCATCATGCTTTGTTTTAAAAGTTACTACATGGGTTAAAACAATACGTACAGGATTAAATAATCCTTTCATAGTATACTGTTCTGTAGCTTACATATATTTCTAGAAAAACTGCTATGCATTTTTTTTGCATTTATATGGTGTGTAAATCAATTTGTACACTGAAAAAAATGTTATGTTGAATTTACTTAATTTTATTACGTCAAGGGGTTGCACGAAATAATTTTATCTAAATCCAGATATATTTTTTAAGTTAAGTGAATTTATATATTTTAAGTTGAGTTTACTTATATTTTATAAAGTGGTTCTACTTATATTTTATACATTGAGTTTATTAATCTCTTTCAGTAATTTCAGATTAATTATATTCATAATTTTAGCTAAACTATTTTGAGTAGAATTAACTCAAATTAATTGTGCAACCAGATCAATTTAATCGTTTAATTTCTACATATTAAAATTAATTTTAATCCAATATTTTTTTATCTATTGTATCTTTCATTAATATTCAGACAAATAAAGCAAACCCAATATTTTCAACTCTAACTTTATTTTTGTGATCCAAGAGATATTTTTGCTCTCTCAAAGAATGGCAGTAATGTAACTCAGTAATCATTTCTCAAATTGTTTTCTTATAACAAAATGCAGTATATCATCCATTAACATAAAATACATTGTACCATTCGTAACAAAACAAGTGCACCAGATTAGCTGGAAGACAGCGAACACTGAATAACTTGCGTGGGATTATATTTAACTGCAAACTTACATTGAGTCAATATTCCAAAACATCATTAGTGCAGCTTTAAATATTTACAATAGTGGCTGTATACATATAGACACAGGAGAACTTTGGAGGGAAGCCTTTTAACACACAACAAAACATATACAAGTAACAAAATACACCAGTACTATACAGAACAAAAAATGCTATAGTACAAGAACTGTCCACAGCTGCAACACAGTGCACACTGAGGACCTGATGCTGAAATTACAAAAAAACTGTAGTTACATTAAAAAAATACTAATTAAAAAAAAAGATTGTTATATAACAAAATAGATTTTATGTTTGGCTGAGGTGAAAAAGTTGGTGTATAAATATGGAAACAGACTTACTAAATAAAATGAAACGTGACTTAAATGTCCACTGAAGCTTAAGCTACTCTAAAAAAAAAAAAATAAATAGTGTCAAATGAAAACATCACATCTGTGTGAAGCAATGAGGAGGCTGTAACATTCTCACATGAAACTAACAAGAATTGTCATAATTCCATGTTTTACACATGGTTCCCCATTGTTTGAACTTTGACTGGAGCTCTTTTAATGACGTCATCTCATTGTGTCCTCTTCTTATGCAATGCCTTAATGGTGCAGACATCATCAACTGTTTATCTCAAAGCGCTTAACTTCTAAAATTCATATGGCGTTAATGGATGGATGGATACTTTTTGTGCTGAGTGTGGATAGAAACCTGGCCTATTTACAGGATTGCAATTTTTATTTCAGGTGAATATTCCACTAAATCCAACGACAACTTTAAATGTTCACACCAGTGGTTATGTATTAAAGTCCACCACTCACTTTGTTTTCAGTTTGAAACATTTTCTAGGGCTGCATTTTACATCATACTATATGTTTTCTATCGCCTCCCAAACCAGATTTAAAAATGCAGCTTAGCAGCGTTTACATGAGCGGCTGAAGAAATCCTACAGTCCAGCAATGATTTTGTTCTTTAGTCCAAGGACTTTGGGGGAAAGTCTTTCTCCATCCATTTTCAAGAGCACATTTTGAATGAATTCATAAGAGTACTTCAGCTCTTTGGGGTAGGCCAAGTTCAATACATAGATGACTCCCAGCATCATTGCAGATGCTTGGGCTACAGATCCAATGTTGTCCAGAATGATTTCTCCTTCAACATAAATGTCATCATGTGCTCCAATTTCTCCACCCTCCTTGTTGATGACATATACGCCCATGGTGGAATTCTGCAGGTCTCTCTGGATGCCATCTCCTTCAATGTCCTGTATATTTGTAGAATATAAGAAAAACATGAATTTATGTAATAGATTTTAATGACCTGCAAATTCAAAATTTCTTTATATTTACAATACATAATTACACTGGTCAGTAAAACCATTGAAAATATTTTTGTCAGTTAAGTAAAGGTTCATTTGAATTAACAAACCACAGATTTTTGTTTTTATGGCTTTATAAAAAATATCCAAAATTTTCTGCAAATGGAGCAGACACAGAAGTCAGAATGGATTGAGAAATGGACTAACACATTGTTGGTTTTGGTCTTTTAATTTAACAATAAGAAAAGTTATGAATAAAGCCTGCCTTATTGTTTCAAGAACCAAACTGATGGTTTAAAATGTTTTAGCCAATTACTGAACATCTCCAGTCCAGACACAGACAAATGTACATCATCCTGTGACAACATCCATGTTATTTTACTCTGCAACATTTCATTTCCTCAACATAAAGTTTGTCAGAGTCTGTTAATAACTATTGTATGTCAGACTTCTTGAATGCACCAGGGTGTGTTTAGAAAATGTTACCTGCTTTGAAAACTCTGCAGCAAATTGTTGATTTTATAAAAATATTCTCATAATGTTAAAGAATAAAAAATGAGCTCAATGTTAAAATTGACCAGAGTTCTCCTTTAATGCATTCATCATCAATGGACTAAAACATAAAAACCACAGTATGATCCTCTGTAGTGACATGCTTTAGTGGCTAGAGCATTTTTCATAAGTTTTGCATTAGTTGATTTAAATAAACAGCAGTCTTCCACACTATAATAGCTCTAGACCCCAAAACACGACAGCATGCAGACTGTGTAGGACTACAGCTGCCATAGTTTTGGTGTCAACACACTGATTTTGTTGTGCACTGGGTTTGTTTTTGTTGAGTGCCCCTTTAAATGTATTTTCTTCTAACTAGTGGGTTAGTGACATTAGGATCTTAAAACATTTTATAATACAAGACAGTACATCAGACTGATAAATGCAATTACAATTACTTGCCTTATACTCCTGAATGAGATGTTCATCATCCTCACCAAGATAGATGCAAAGTGCCTTGAGGACTGCTGCCCTTTTAAGATTGATGTCACTTGTAGCCTGTGTAAAAGGACAACAACTATTAAAATACAATTAATAATAAAAAATGTCTAAAAACTGTAGAATACTTTAAACCTGTGGTAACCTCAAAAATATATACACAATGACTTCATGATACATTCTGTAAATGGGCTGCCTTCTTTAGCTAAAGAATGTTAGTGTATTGTGACTTCATTTTCAGGTCTGAATGTGTAGGGCGATAGGGTGACAGTTCAGTCTGCATGGTAGGTGCAAATGTACCAAAAGATCTCCGTTTTAAAACAAAAATGTAGTAGTGTGGATGTAGCCTTAGGAACCTTGCCATTTACAAATAATCAAGGCTGGCACTAGACAGGTACATTTCAGGTTTCTCCACATTGTATATGATATTTTCAACTAAAATGTAAAAACATGTTTACCTCTTGCAAGATCGCCAGATGTTTGGCTAGTTTTTGGCCAGAAACACCTTCCTGATGTCAGCTAGGGTAAATGGCTGTCCAACTGAGCCATAAAGGTTGTTTCAAGTGGGATGGTTGTTATGCGCTGGAATTCAACATTTATCTACACACATAAAAACAACAACAGAAGACAAAGAGCACTGTGATCAGCCATTGGTGTAATGATATTTTGTAGCTATTAAATAGATATAATCAAATTTTCTTATATTAGGTGTACAGTGTGTTCTAGCCAGATGTATTGCTATCAATCAAGAGTAATGGCAAGATATCAAAACTGGACCAGCATCCTTATTTAAACCTTAATAATATTTTTTTTATATTTACAATGGGTCAAAGTGCAATGTAAAAACCCAGGGAGCAAGCATGTGCTTACCTCATCAATGTTTCTTAAATTAACTACCATTGTTTGTACAACAATGCATGAAATATAAACACATGTACAGTGATTTAGAATAAATAATTGTGTAAGGTTATTTACATTGTGTCAGATCATATTATATGGCGATTTATTATAAACTGTTTGTGAAATCAGAAACAGAAAAATCTCTTCGCAATGCAGTCCACAAGCCTACTACTACTAAGTACATTGTGAGATATTATAACTGAGTCAACAAGTCAAGACCCCTGCCAGCTCTTAGTTTTGTAAATGTAATTAATTTGTTAATTTAATTAAAATTAATTAATTATTTATTCTGTCTTCATGCCATATCACTAACTCTATTAGTATTTGGATTTGTCATGTTCCACTTCTATACTAAAAGTATTAGTTTAAAATTGGGAGCAATAAATGCAATGCCAACATAATTGGTCTTTGTATTTAACGTTAGAGCAGAAACAAAGTTGAACAACATCAACCTGCTAGCTAAACCCTGGTCTTTCACTGGACTATCGGCTGTGGTCGTACTAGTTGGTCCTTTCGTGTCATATGCAAATCTCCTGCAATTTAGTTATGAAACATTTGCATGCTTCTACAACATCTACTTTCACCCCCACCTTTACGTTTTAAACCCTGATAAGGCGAGTCGGAGACAGTCCACGAGGACTGCGACCCATGCCGCTGCCACGAAAGAGAAGCTTGTTTACTTTTCCTACCCGCATTCCGCGAAGATCTGCCTCTGATTGGCTAGTGTTCGTTGCAATCGTTGGTTAGGTCAAAAAAGCTCTTTGGTTAGGTTTGCGCAAGTGGAGCGACGTCACGATCGGTCGGAGCCAGTCAGCGTCAGAGTAGGGGCGGGTCTACGGGTGTAAAAAAAAATACAAACTTTTAAAGAAACGATAAATTCAGGTACCCAACGTAACTTATGACTGCCATTATGATTATGTAGAAACATAAATTCTTGCCGTCAGTGCACATTAACCACATTTTACCAACATGATTTCACAGGTCTATTTTGTTCTAATGTTAACACATTGACAAGATTAGAAGAAATGCTTACAGCCAGTCAGGAATAACGTTATGTAATGTTAGGCTTGGCCAGTCTAACGTAACGTAACGTTACAAGCCTAGACAGCAAGGAAGGTGCTGCTACAATTAACGTTAACATTCGTAAAACTGTTTTGCTTTTATTCGGCTTCCACAAACTAATAAATAATCAAGACAAACACTGAATTCACCAAGCATTTAACACTTAAGCTAAGTTAATTTACTAACCTTACACAACTCACGTAGTTAAGCTAATCGCTGACACCTTAGTTGTAATTTAATTTAATGTAACGTTAATTGATATAAAAACATACCAATTTAGCATTAGCTAAACACATTTTTCTATAAAATGTTTAAAAGTGTAAACAGAACCATGTTTAAGTAACAAATATAACACACCAATGATTATATATTGATTACTTACCGAAAATGCAGAGCTGGATGCAGCATTCAAATGAGTGCATCACGTTCAATCTCCCCGCCTTGGCCCCTTCAGGAAAAAAAGTGTCTGCACATGCGCAGACCGGATAGTATATGGAAATTAAATGAAACGTATTTTTTTCTAATTACTTTTAATTGAATGAAATTAACTTGTTTTAAACAAAAGCAGTAAATTTGAAAACTAATAATAAAAAATAAGTAGGATTAAATAACACATTAAAATCAGTGAAATTAACCAGATAAAAACATGTAACATTTACAAGGGGTCAGAATCATTTTTTTCAGTGTAGTTAAAGGTGCTGTATGTACGTTTTTGACTCTTCTAAAGCATAAAAATACTATAATATGTTTGCAGATATTTAGGAGATATGTTAAGTTAACGTTATTATTTATCTGAAAAACAATGCTAAAGTCAAATATTGTGCTTTAAAAATGTGCATTAAGTGCCAGAATTCTGTTTTTGTTTTGGTTCTTTTAACCCGCCCAATGTTTATCCAATTCTGTTTCAGCACCCCGGGTTGCCTTGATTGAAACCCGCGTGTTTCATTCATTCAGTCGGGAAGGCTCTTAAAGCATGTGTTCATGACTGAAATGCGACCTCCGGCGGACAGTAGCAGACTCCGAAATGAGACGCATATTCATAGTTCCACATGATGTTATTAATTAGCAAATTATATCAATATTATGAACGTAAACATTAGGGGAGCAGGTTACATTGTAACCCCGAGTCCTAACAACACGCTACATGACGAGATGCGCAGTAATAAGCAATTTGGCTGTTTGCACCTTACAAAACATGACAGAAATTTGAATACCGCCATTCAGAAGTAAATAATATGCACTCACTAACTAAATGGTAAGGTTTTAATCTAATTTATACATATTAAACCTCAATAACATTATTAAATGTTGATGCTCAATCACAGATTGGTGTTGGTTTGCATTATTTCAAAGTTCTAAAGTTCAATTTCAAATGGTTTGGTTTGTTTTCAAGATCTGAGGTAAACTATCTGCTACTGCTTTCAGTAGTATGGCACAAAACATCATATAAAATGGCATTCAAACTTACTTTGTTAACATTTAAAACTGAATAAAGCACATGAGATGTACCTGAGGTGATCATTGTCAGTTTTATAAATTCCAGGTGTTGGTAATGACAAAAACTCCTTCTAATATGAAAAAATTCCTTTTATCACGTGCCGTTGCTTTTATTTAAAAAACAATTTAAATCACCCTTAATTTAGCCTTTATAGGCTTAATGGTCAGGCACACTCCTGTTGGTTCTCAATCTGGGCATGTTCAACCCCTGGGTGTCAAACTTACATACTGCACCTTTAATTATACAGTACATCCATGTGTGATAATATAAATATAATTGCCATTAATACAAATTGCCATATTTAAAAGCACTGAACTGCTTGATAAATGTCTCTAGCAAGTTTTAATTTAAATAAATGTCATTTATATTAAATGTGTTTTTATATTTTATCGTGAGAGTTGCATTGTAATTGTTGCATCTTTATCACATTATATCAGAGTGTTGCCTAGTTTTCTCCTCCTTTATTTTAATCCAACATTGACTGTGCAGAACAACAGAACATTGTTATGTAGAGCAGTTAGTAGAATTTCCCTCTGTTTTCTCTGAAAATGATTTATCAAAAGCCTAATTCAAAAATGATTCTTAACAGGTCTTAAAGGTTACTTCACATTTTAGAACAGGTTCACTTTATCTGTTTAAAAAAACAAGACATAACAATATCTAACTTGATTTCATGTTGTGCTTTATTTAGAATGGTGTGAGTTCACTCCATATGAGGTTGGATTTCCCAAATATGGTGCCTTCATACCTGCACAGAACTTCGGGAGTGAATATTACCTTGGGCACATGATCAAGAAGCTCCCCGAGACTGCACTCTCCATTCTTGTGGGTGAGTTTGAGGTTATGAAAGCATGAAATGGCTATCAGCGTCTTAAAATTTGCATTGCTCTTAATAGGCTGTAGACATCTGTATCTGAAAGTGATCCAGTGCTCCAAGTAAGTGATGTGATGTAGCCAGTCACCATTTACAAATCCAAACTCTGTATGTTTTGGAAGGAATGTGGAGCAGCATTTTCTCTGTAAATCTGACAAACATCTGGAGTATAGCCACGGGAGCCGCACCTTCCTGGACCCCTCAGGTTGAAGGAGGAAAGAGCAACACAGGTGAGATTTTAAACCCTGTATGTACTAATTATGTATGTACTCAACTAATTCATAGAGCACAGACATTTTTTAGATATTTAATTATTTAAAATGTACTGTTATGCATTAAATCACTACACTATTACTATTTTATGTATATTTAAAATAAGTAATGCAATTAAAAAACTTGACTGGACACTTGTTTTTCTGTTCTTTTTTCTAAAGAGACTAGTAAACCGACAGCACTTACCACACACCTGATCAACCCGGTGACTGACTTTGCTAAAATGCTCTGTGGCTTTATGACCAGTCGTCCCATAGTCAGCCAAATGTACAACTTCCTGAGAGGCTTCAACCTGCACAGAAACTACCAAGAGAACACAGGCTTCATAGCATGGAAAGGTCCAGAGCTCTCTACTATACTTATTCTGTGTTTTGCATCTCCATTTAGAAGTCAGTCAGTTGTTTTATTCTTCAGATGGTCTCTGTTGTGTCCTATTTCATGTCTATAAATGTACTTGATCCCTACCATTCTAGAATAATGTTTTTTACACCAGTATAGTGTTTGCAGTCCTCCATAACATTCCTGTTTTGTCTTCAGAGAAACATCCGGATGCCTTTCCTAACACCATGACTCCATCTGATCCAGTGCTGAGTTTAGTAGATGCTGGATTTGCCTTAAATGCAGGATTTCCACCGGTAGTTCGCTCTCACCGGAATGTGGATGTTATTCTGTCTATAAACTACTCCTGGGAGCTGGATCAATTTAAGGTGAGGAAGATCTGGAAGATTATGAAAGATCTGGTTAAAATACCAAGGTCAGGAAATTAAAGGGCTATGAAAATAGAGTAATTCCTTGCTCATCTAGTGATGTATTTTTCTTTCTGACCACAAAAAAAAGGTAAAAAACTCTTACAAACACTAGAATGGCAGTGGATAATATCACTTGAAAAGTATTAAAGAATGTTATGCAAAACGTCATACTTTTGTGTTCACTAAGTGCTCTCAGGGTTTACAAAGAAGTTTGGTAAAAACGTGAACAAACCAAAATTGTGTATTATTTAATAGAACTCTTAACTTATTAACACTTCTGTTCACAAAAGCAGACACATGCACAGTTTTGATCAATTGAGTTAAATCAAGCATACAACAAAATACCGTAATACCCTCAAAAGTACTTGTTTGTTTCTGAATATCACCAAATGAGATCTACAGTTTTTAGTTTCAAGGTGCATATTTTTTAGATTAAACCCTGGCTTGTTTTTCACTCAGCTCTATCATGCACCCTTTAAACACTTAGAATATGTGTACATCAAATGCAGTGTATACCTGCAGTTCTACTTTATGAATTTCAATGCTAATTCATTGGAAACCTATGAGTGAGTTCAAGCAGGACTTTTTTAAAATTTAATACAGAAGGGCAAATAGCTTTGAAATAATAGGGTGAGAAAATTATGACTCAATTTGCACTTTTGGATCAAGTATGCCTTTAGGTTTGCTTGAAAACATAAATTTTTATGCTTGCTTGTGCCCAATAGGTCGTAAAGCAAGCCCAGGAATACTGCACCGATCGAAAGATCCCATTTCCAAAAATTGATTTCAAAAAGCTGGAGTCTGAGCCACTGAGGGAAGTTTATGTGTTTGAAGATAAAAATAATCCTGATGCTCCCATAGTGCTTCACTTTCCCTTGGTCAATGTCTCATTCAAACAGTTCAAAGCTCCAGGTAAGACCTACTAACTCTTTGGACATCTCATCTGCCATATTCTTGGATATTACATTATATTTAACAATGTTAAAATTTGTTGTTGTTGTTGTTGTTGTTGTTGTTTTGTGCGTTTTTTTCTGGAAAAAAGAAGCTTAAAATAATATTTATTTAAAAACCATACAAAAGTCTGTAGTGTTACTTTTAATTAATTGAAAGTGTCTTTGTTGAAAAAGTACAGTATGAATGAATAAAAAGTCATTGTCAGGGTGTTTTAAGTGAAAACAAAAGATTTAATTTTGAAAATCTTCCTTTTACTTAAACTGTTAGAATGCTCAGATGTACTACATTGCCACTACTGTACTTTATTTTACACTGTTTGCATACTGTTTTTTCTATTGGTCCTGACATTTGTTTTGCCTATATTTATTCAATTATACTTTACATTGTACGTACAGACATGAGAATATCAAAAGCAGCTCTAAAAACTGAATCATATTATTCTGTTTCCTCTCAAGCCCTGGTATTTCCTGTAGGAAATGTAAATGTGACCCTGGACCCCAAAACCAATCATAACAATCTATTTTTGGATATTGGGATGTAAACATCATGTGAACGCTGAATAAATAAGCTTAATGCATAGTTTGGATAGGGGAGCATTTAGCCAAAATAAAACTGTGAAAATCTAAAGGTTTAAAAGATTTATAAATACTGAAAAAACACTCAAAATCACCTTATGTTCTTAGCATTGTATATTACTAAACAAAAATTATGTTTTGATACATTTATGGAAGTAAGTTTACAAGCATGTGGTCGATGTATCTGTCCGTTGTGGTAAAGAAGGAGCTGAGATAAAAGGCAAAGCTCTCGATTTACAGGTCGGTCTACGTTCTTACTCTCACCTATCGTCCTGAGCTTTGGGTCTGGGGTAATCTCCTAAGACTGTCCCCGCGACCCGGCCCTGAAAAAGCGGACAAAAATGATAAAATGAGATAAGTTTACAAAATGTCTTCATGGAAGATAAATGTTAATATTTTAATGTTTTTTGGGTTTTTTTTGCACTCATCTTGACTCATGCAATTTATATTTGTCTATTTCCAAATATACAAGTGCAACATAAGGCTGGATTTGTGGTCCAGGGTCAAAAACTATAGATTCATATTATATTCTATGCATGAAAAGTTTATTTGCAGTGTGCTTTGAAACATCAGCTAAAATTTGTTGATCATGTATTAGTTGATCATGTATTATATTTTGGTACAATACATCAGTAAACATTTTCCGACGTCCAAAAAAGTAGCTCATTAATAAAAACTAATCATAAATAATGCTCTGTATGTACTGTATGTGACGCAGGAGTGAAGAGAGAGGGTGAAAAGGAGCTGAAAGAGGGAGCGGTTGATGTTGACTTTAACAGTAACACATCTCCATATGCCACTCACAAACTGACATACACACCGGAGGACTTCCAGAGGCTCATTAACCTAACTTCCTACAACATCCAGAATAACAAAGATGTCATTCTGAACGCATTAAACAAAGCACTGAACAGAAACAGAGACAAGAGGACAGGGGAAGAAAGCAAAAAAGAGGAGAAAGGAAAGACCTGTTCAGCACCAACACCACAACCAGGATCACAGAAAACACAAAAGACACAAAAGTAATCTGAATGCAAAACTTGATATATCTTGAATTGTTGTTGTTGTTACAACCTACTCTAATCATGTTTATGTAACTTACAACTAGGGAATGTTACTTAAAACTCACTAAGTTACATTCAACTCACAATTGTGATTAGTGCTTGTGATAGACTCAAGGCAAGACATGCTCACTGCCAGAGCCACACATAGAGGGCAGTATATACAGTAGTACTCTAGTATGCACTCTACAGGAATGCTGCTCTGAAGAGCAGAGAAGTATAGTTCAGTTTCAGAGTTTTCCCTTTGGTTTGAGATACACTGCTGAAAAATAAATTGAACTTCTATTTTATTAACCAATTGTGTGTGTGATGAGAAGTATTGAGTATGTTTTACATTTGCACATAGACAGCTTTATCTGCACTGGTACTATATGAAGGGCAATTGCAATGACGTGTGCAATGTTTTTAAATGTAAACCTGTGCCAAAAAGCCACAGCTATTGCATTATGAGGGTAGGGTAGTGTGACATTTATGATGTCATAGGTAAGGTAACGGATGTGTAGTTCCCAGCATGCTTTACGGAGAAAAAAAAGGAGAAAATGATAATAATAAAAGCATTTATATCACAATTTTATTCAAATTTTATTCCAGCTAATTAATTCATTTATTTTTTTTTTTTCGGCTTATTCCCTTTATTCATGGATCTCCATGGTGGAATGAACCATTAACTTATCCCGCATATGTTTTTAAGCAGCGGATGCCCTTCCAGCCGCAACCCGGGAAACACCCATTGCATTCACACACATACACTACGGCCAGTTTAGCTTATTCAATTCACCTACACCGCATGTCTTTGGACTGTGAGGGAAACCGGAGCATTCCTGCTAATAAAACATGCATATTTACATTAACATGAAAATGATTCTTCCTTAGATAAGTTAAAACAGATCCTTTCAAGCTTGCAATGAGATATAAAATAGCCAGACCAATCAAGTTACATTCACTGACAGACAGCTATGCCTTAAGCCTCTGTACATTTTCAAATAATTAAACTATAATTAGTAATGGTGTCATGGTGGCACAGTGGGTCACATAATCGCCTCACAGCGAAAAGGTCACTGCTTCGAACCTCGGCTGGGGCCGTTGGCTTTTCTGTGTGGAGTTTGCATGTTCTCCCCGTGTTGGTGTGAGTTTCCTCCGGGTGCTCCGGTTTCCCCCACAAGTCCAAAGACATGCACTATAGGTGAATTAGGTAAGCTAAATTGTCTACAGTATAAGTGTGAATGAGTGTGTATGGATGTTTCCCAGTGATGGGTTGCAGCTGGAAGGGCATCAACTGCAAAAACATATGCTGCATAAGTTGACGGTTCATTCCGCTGTGGTGACCCCAGATAAATAAACTAAGCCAAAAAGAAAATGAATGAACGAATGAATAATTAGCAGACTTACATTTGTCATTGATATTGTACAGGTGTTACCACATGATTTACATTTGTAAGTTGATCCAAAGCAAATTTTCAGTATGCTCTGAAGGAAAGGATGGTTCTCTTAAATAAATAACGCAACAATTTTAAACAGCAAAAATTGATTCAGAAACAAACTTAACTAATTTTGACAGATATCACATGTAGTGTACAAATTCATTAATTTCTGATTTCTGACCAATTAAGCAGAGAAATATATTTTTCTTCCTGCTAACAAAAACACAAATAACTGACAAACGATTTAATAATACAGTAAAGATGTATTATGACTTGTTTGTTTGACTAATTGTTGGATAGACAGAAGTTGGTGTTCTTTTTTTTTTTGGATGTAGTTCATTTCCTAATCAGGTTTTTACCACGTGCCATATCTGTGAATGTATTCATTGCACTTCCACTATGTAAATATTATGAGAACTAAAATGTATGACTTTATAAGGTATACTTTGTAGAAATGTTCAATATATATATATTTTTAAGTATTTTTACAATAGTGCCTGTTAAATAAAAATAAATAAATAAATGTGGCAGTGTTTAGTGTATCATTATTTTGTATATTCTATTATTCATTTTCTTTTGGGACAATGGGCAATAAACAATTCAGTAAAGTTGGTTTAGCAATGTTTACCAATATACAATTAACCAATATACATATTTTTTATTAAGTGAAACCAAAAAAGCGTGCTACAATAAATTAAAATATTCAATTTCACCAATAACATTAAAAGACTTGATACAGGCTACTACTAAATTTAGATGTGACCTACTAGACAATTTTGAGTTTGTGGAGTAAATTATTTTACAGTGCATAAATAATAATCATTTATATTTATAACATAATTGTAAATAATATTCTTTCAAAATGCTGAATCATTTATTTTTAATATTTGTTTATTGTATGTATTTTTTAAAATAAGATTATTATTATTATGGTTTACTATTATAGTTTTTCTAAAGCAGATTGTGGTGAATTGCACAGGTTAATATGAATATATAATAATAATAATAATAATAATAATTTCATAACTATTCAGAATATGATTTTACAATGTTTTTGGCACATGAATACCAATATATATATATATATATATATATATATATATATATAACATAATAAAATTCAACATAGGAAAAGAACAACAAAATAAATGCAGCCTTTTTTATATTTCATGAATTTATTATTTGATTTATTTATTTACAACCCACGAATCCACCTGTGACCAATCACTGCTAGACAATTTAGAGTTTGGGGAGTAATTTTTTTTTACATGAATAAATAATTAGAATTTATATTTATACCATAATTGTAAATATTATTCAATTAAAATATGGAATAAATACATTCAATATTTGTTTTATTTATTGTATTTTTTAAATTATGATTATAATTATTAAGGCTCATTATAGTTTTCATAGGGTAGTTTGTGGTGAATTATTTACAAAATCAGGTTAACAGAGTAATAATTATATATAATAATAATTACATAACTATTCAAAATATTATTAGTTTCATAATAGTCTATACCCCTGGAATAATGATAAAGTTAAATATTTAAATAATAAATAACATAGTGAAATTCAAAAAGAAAAAGAAAAGAATTGCAGCCTCTTTTATATGTATTAAATAACCAATTTATTAATTGATTCATTTATTCAGAATGGTTGCTTCCACGATTCCTGCGACTTCCACATCTTCAGGTGATTCTGATGTAAATCTGCTGTCCAGAATCAGCTGGTTTGTCTTAGTCGGGCATCTCCGCTGAGACCAGTCCACTATGGGTGACCCTGCCGGTATCTGTGAAGTACCAGTGGCGAAGCTCTCAGCATCACTGATGCACACAAGCCCTCACAGCACGTCAAGCTGCAAACCACGTGAGGGACCCTAACCTAACCTACCCTACCCTAACAGACACCGCAAATCACCAAACGCATCGAAACTCTAAGAAGAGTCCAGCGACCGACCAGCAACACGAGAACACCTGCTCAGAAAACCTCGACAACCGCGCAGAAAACCACCTGAAACATCCTGAAGACCACCGAGCAAACCAAGAACTTCAAGTCAACAACACCAAGAATCAATAAAAACAACCAATTGATGAAACAAAACATGCAAAAGGAAACTTACTGTGAACTTGCTCTACAACTATGTACACTATATACATATATACATACGCAGGCCTGCAGTGTGGTTTGGGACACTGTGAAGACTCAGCGTCTGGCCCTCTTTCTGCTGGGCTTCTTAGGCAGTGGCTCTCCACTGATGTCCACATGGAATCGAGGAGCGATGATGTTTGGCCCGGGTCCACATCTGCGTTCTGTAATCAGGATTCGTCCATCAGCCTGCACCGTCTCCTCCATCACAGGACACCTGAGCGCCTCCCACAGCCGCTGCTTGATCTCCAGGCCCAGCTGAAGGCTGTAGGGACGACTCTTAATCATGGGCTCGACCACAGAGCAGTAGATGTCCTGGTAGGCCTGAACGCTGTAGCCGTGGATAGAGAGTGGCTCCTCCTGCTGTCCCACGTCCACTGAAGGCACTGGGGATGCTGGACGGATGTGGGGAAGGACAGTCGCGTTCTTCAGGTGACGCTCCTCCAGACCTGGGGAAGAGACACAGCTGTAAGTGTGATCCAACCTGATCACAGCTGCAGGATCCTGAACAGATGGGACACCCTCCAGCAGGAAGTCCTTCAGGTGTGCTGGAAGACTCCTGGTTCGTCTGAGGCGCCGCTGCTCCATGAATATCAACTTTCCAAATCAGACAAATCTGAAGAAACTTGTCAAGCTGGAGAGTTGAAAGAGCTCAAGTGATCAGATTCAGAGAGATGTGTTGATTTCCAGTGTAAACTCAGGTTGCCGTGGTGACAGAATATTGGAGTCATTTAAATGTAAACAATACTTGATCAGCAGAAAGTCAATTAGAGCAGTAGAGGAGTTCTTCTCTGTTGCTTCTCTTTTACATAGTTTGTCATTTTTACATTATAAACAAATAAATATTGTGTGATCTAAACAAAAGGTGTAATACAGAAACATTAACACTTTCAGTTAAAATTGATCAGTTAGGTTAAGCAGATATCATGATAATTATTATTATTATTTTATCATAACTGGGTCTAGATCCCAAAACAATAATAAAAACGAAAACATACACAAAATATTGTCTTTATTTATTTATTTATTTTCGTAATTAATTTTAATCAAATTTTGTTGCAATCTAAGTTTATTTAACCAATTTTCAAATTTCATTTTTTTTTATCTGATCATATTTTTGCATTAATTGTTTTATTATTAGAATATATAAAACAAAATTACACTGTAAATAAAATAATTGTGGACACTGACCAACAAACATTGACTCAACAAATGACTTCACAATAATAAGCCCCAAACGAAAAAAAACCCCACATTATTAATTTTAGCGGATGGTCTGAAGTAAAAAATAAAATATATATTCACCAAACATAAAACTGTGCTTTGCCAGTTTATCAAACAGAAGTGAAATAGTATTGGAGTTTGGCGAACAAACCTTGCAGCAAAAAGCGCGTTTACGCATGCGCGTGAGAGTCGTTTGTTGGATCAGATTTAAATTCCAGCGCAGCAATGGCAGAGCTCCTCCGAAACATCATATTCAGGCGATTTTTCTTCCTCAAAGTTATGGTGAGAATAAGAAAAGAAATGCAGCCTCTTTTATTTGTATTAAATAACAAATTTATTAATTGATTCATTTATTCAGAATGGTTGCTTCCACGAATCCTGCGACTTCCACATCTTCAGGTGATTCTGATGTAAATCTGCTGTCCAGAATCAGCTGGTTTGTCTTAGTCGGGCATCTCCGCTGAGACCAGTCCACTATGGGTGACCCTGCCGGTATCT